ATATATATATATACATATATATATATATACATATATATATATATACATATATACACACATATTTATATACACATATTTATATACACACATATATAAATATCTATATAGCTTGGTTTTTTGCTCTGCATGAAGTTCACTGGTATGCATGGATTTATGCATTGTATTTCTTCTTTTTTTCCCTTGTTTGTTGTTTTCTGCTGTCCCTCCTCGATTGGTTTCTTAAAGAGCAAGTCATGTGAGCCGCGCGGTCTTATGATCGGGTCACGCTCACGTCCACAGGCAGCCGTTAGTCAATTAGTCCGTCTGTTCGGGACACAAAAAGGCTTACAGCCCTCCTCGGTATCAGTTTGCAACCCTCCATGTCCATTGTTCCCTTCTTCTCCTCCCCCTCCGTCATCTTCAGCACGCAGTGGTAAAACTCCTCTCTCTCAGAATATATTATTAAATTCAGCCTCTAACAACTGTTCAAAGCAGGAGGATGTAATTTTAAGAGGGTCTGTGTGTGTAATACGAGACATTAAAACCTATCAAAGCGCTCTGAATGGCTGTAGTGTGTGTGTACCTGAAAGTGTGTGTGTGTGTTGATATATCTGAGAGAGAGATATAGAGCTGAAAGGAGGGATAGTCTGCACAGAGGGATTCTAGTCTCGACCCTCTTTCCCGGGTCAAAATGTAGCCGAGTACAGCAGTCAGTCCTAGCTGATGGTTGATGAAAATGTTGGTGCATCTTTAACTGTGTTTCCTTTAAAAAAAAGAAAAGAAGAAGTCTTTCCGCTGTTCTGATTCTCTGAACCGGGAGAAGTTGTATCAGGATGGAGGGGAGGGCTCGGCTGTTGGGTGAAGTTGGGGAAGTGGAGGGAGTGATTGGCTAACTGGTCGTGGGGGCGGAGGAGGAGAGGGGGGGGGGGGGGATAAGTAGGTTGGGGGGTGGATAAGTAAGCCGGACCATCACAAGAGCTCGTACTGCCGTAGGTGCATCCTCTGTATGATGTCGCGACAGTCATTGAAGACGCGGCGGATGTTTTCTGTGTCAACCGCGCAGGTGAAGTGGGGGTAACAGTAATGCCGTCCGTCCCCGCTGGCTGTACTGATCCTCTGAGGAAGACACACAAGTACAGAAAAGTTAGTGTTGGCACGGCCGAGGAGAACCGAAGAGCTGGGACAATCACACGGCTTGTGACTGTGACGTCTTTTTACTTTGGACTTTCTGTCCAACTGCCCAAAAAAATGATTTGCTTAAAAATGTCACATATTATTCAGTAAAATTTGGATAAAATGACTGTGGATGGAAGACAGCATACATATATAATGGAAAATATTGATAAGAGTTTTAAATGGATTTCTGGGAAACAACATGTCTGATAAACCAGTAAACCTCACATCTTCTCTTACTTTGTCAACTCTGATTTTAGTTGTTTTTTTTTGGAGTCATCCAACTCATCTTAACTGATTCTATAACAAAATTAAGGAGGAAATCCTTTTTTTTTTTTAAACAGTCAAACAGAGGACTGAGATGGAGTGGAGCTGAACTACATCCTGTAAATCAGCTGTTAACACGTCACCTACACTGTTCTGCGAACTAAACAGGTCTAAATAAGTAAATAAATAAATTCTAAATAAGACATAAGAAACATAAATTATGAAAATGGTCAAACGTGAACTTTGTACACACCAGAAACTCATCCCGAATGAAGTACTTCGCCCTCGTGACTCGGGGATCCTCACCTGGCTCTGGTATTGCTGTTGAAGAGGCACAAATCCGGTCACAATAAAGTCATGTTTGCCCTGAGCCATTATCTAACACTTATTGGTTAAGATAGAGCTACGTGTTGTTTAATCCTGAGCATATTCTTACTACTCAACGTGGCTCATCATCCCCACCAAACCATTTGAATGTGTCGGTTATATCCACGGAAAAACGTGTGTTATTATTTATTATATTGGTGTCGACCTCTTACCATCATCAGGCGTAGTGTAGCGCGCAAACTCCGGGAAATACTCCTCAATTTTAGATTTCCCTGCCAACACCTTCTCAGCGAGCAGGTCCTGTTTGTTCAGGAAGAGGATTACCGAAATGGTCCGTAGCCACCTGCGGAGGGAAATGAAGACTCGGGTCAGGGCCAGATTCCTTTAGGACCCCCAAAAAACATTACAGGTCTGTTGCTGGAGAGTCCCCACTTTTACAGTGGCATTATGTTGTAATAGGCTCTGGCTGAAGGACAAGGGAATCATTTTCCCTCCGGACTTCTGGGCTGAAAAGGCCTGAGAGGCCGTTGAAGAAGAAGAGGAAGGACTCTGTATCCAATCAGCGTCTTCTCCCACTGTACATACGTGCATCCTGTTTGTAAACTGTACTTTCCACCTCCGTTTTCAGTCCGTTTGTCAGCATAATTACGGAAAAACTACTGGCTTTCTAGTTCAATATAGAAATAAAATGGGTTAAAAAGAAGAATAGAGAAAAAGATGAGGTTAAAAAGGCACGGTATGGCCAAAAACACACGTCCCATGACACCTCTAACACCAATAAGAGGTGATTCAGGTTTAACATAATTAATATTCTTATTGAGGGTTTTTTTAATGTGTTTTTTTTATGCATCAGTAATAAGTGCTACAGTACCGCTCAGAGTGTCTGACAGCAGAAACTGTGCTGACAGGTTTTAGAGATGCATTTAACAGTAAAACTTTACTTTTGTACAGTTTAACTAATAAATACTATACTGTTATTACATTCCCAGAACAATATTTTAACCGTGGCAGTGTGTCTGAAGACTGTGCTCATCACATGCAGTGTGGGAATGCCACACGCTCGTCACTCGCTTGACATCAACCACCACGAAAAAAACCCCCAAGCTGTCTGTCAAAAGTGATTATTTCTCCATCACAATATTAGTTTCTACGATTTTCACCTGTTGTTCCAGATGTTCTTGAAAAGGTTGAGGGCTTCCTGTAGTCTGTTGGTCTGATTGTCTTCTCTGATCACCATGTTGTAGCTGCTACTCGCCACCACAAAGATGATGGCTGTCACATCTGTGTCTCTCACACACACACACACACACACACACACACACACACACACACACACCAAAGCATTATAGGCTACGATCAACACACAAAGGATGAGTTAAACTATCCAACACTGCACACAGTCAATGATCATCTTTCTGTATTTCATAAATAGTTTCATCAAAAGCAGTCCAAGCTGCAAAAACCGTACCGTTAAAACACTGGATCCATTTTCGACGTTCATCCCTCTGACCTCCGACATCGAACATACTGTGAGGCGGAGGAAGTTCAAAGTTTAGCTTGCATTGTAAAGAAAGTGAAATATGTCACATGACAACAGTGTATAGTGATGAGAAACAAGACCGTCTCAATCAAATAAAAGTAAAACATTTGAGGAAAAACACATTCATTCATGAGGTTTATTATTTCAATCACAATTACAATTGCCTTTGGATACACATCTTCACTTTCTCACGAGACAATGAGATAAATACATTTTGTGGTAACTCACTGGAAATTGACTTTGTCTATTTGAAATCGCGTCTCAAAGATCCCAGATGTCAGCACTCTGCATCTCAACAGGTCCTGAAGAACAGAGACAGAACAGGACAGTGTTGGACAGTGTGAGATAAATATAGAAAAGGATACAGACATAGGAGACGTAGAAGAGAGATGTCAGGAAGATGGACGTAAGATTGTAAAAGAGGGGATAACAAGGTTTAAGATGAGACTGTAACAGAAGAAGAGGAAATAAACTCATGGACAACAAGTACTCTTTTGACTTATAGATGAAATAAAACTAGTCAACTTACAGACGTTTCAAAATCTTGATGACCTTCTCACCATAAAGTAAACTGTAGTGTCTGTTATAGAAGTAGTGAGTGAGTGACCGACGTAGTGAGTTAGGATACAGTCAATAGGACATTTTCAGATTATCAATACCTGTCCCAGTAAACCCATAAATCAGCAGGCACAATATTGGGAAAATGAAACTGAAGCAGCTAAACAGAGCTCAGCCATCATTAACTGTATTTTATACATCTGTGCTCTTCATGCCACTACATGTCACATCAATGTCTCATGTGAAAAAGGCCTTTGTTTGGCATTTATCTTTCCTGATGAACGAATTAAACAATGAATCAATCAGCTGAATGATGAATTGACTGTTTTGGCACTACAGAGCACGGATGCAGGCAGAGAGCGCTTTAACATGACGCTGCAAGTGTTTGTGTGTTGAACATCTTACCTGATCAGTGGGCGTGTAGTCATTCTGTCTCACCATATCGATCCTGTCTAAGAAACTGCAACATGAACAGAAAAATACAGCCGGTTAGATCTCAGCTGCTGCGCTGCCGGCACATAATAATACAAAGAAACCAATAATACATAATAACACAGTAAAACATATCAATATTTCCACTGGCCAAATGCATCTTTGCAATACATTTACCAGTTGTGGATGCATCCACAGAGGCCATTTTCTAAATCCTATTATACTGACTAACTTATTATGCTGTGGTGATGTACATAGTGAGAACAGTATGGCCCCCAACACACAGACACACACACACACACACACACACACACACACACACACGTGCATTAGTGCGAGCAAAAGAAAGATGGAGGACGGCGGTTGCTGAGCGGCCACCAGGGGGTGTGTTTCTTTGAATTCACAGTGAGATCAGTCTGAGTCACCAGCAGCCGTTTGCTCTGTCAGACCAGAGGAGCCTTGTCAATGGAGCTGCTGTAGTAATACTTGCACAGGAGGAGAGGTGTGTGTGTGTGCGTGTATGTCGATGTGTATAGGCGTGGGTGGGAATGCAGGCCTACGGTGGCATCGGTTTTGCACAGCGCCTACCTAAATGAATGCTAATTGTTCCGATGAACTGGCCTACATAACTGCCGCTTTTCAAGGTGTGTGTGTGTGTGTGTGTGTGTGTGTGTGTGTGTGTGTGTGTGAGCTGCCCTGATGCTTTCATGATGACTGTACCAAAGAAAGATACTTTTACATGAGCGTCCCTCAAGGAAACACAACAACGTTCCTCTCATGCATCCCGGGCTGAAGTTTAGTCTGTGTTAATCCAACTGACTAAACGTCCCTCCTCATGTACGTGTGAGAACTGAGACAGGGTTTTAAATGTCCTTGTTATCCCGACTGAACTCTCAGATGCACAGACGAAACATTATGCGGGAGGATGGACACGGTGGAAAGAAAGAGTGGGATGAACCGAGGCCACACCGAGAGGAATTTGGTAATTATCTTAAGCGGCAACTATCATACGTGTCCCACGAGCCTGCATGGATGGGACACTGGTGCTGCTGGTTTTCCCACAACAATTCTCTGAAGGGCGAAGCAACAACACGTCAGCAGAGAAAGAATCCTCTGCAGAAGCACTCACGAGGCATTCATGAAGGGGTCTCACAGAGTTAATACCAGTCGCTGCATTTAAGTCGCCAAAATCCTCCGATCACCGATCGTCTCCTGTTTACACATGTTTAAACATCTACAGAGTAAAGCGCCTGCAAAGAGCCTGAATTAAGTTTGCTCGTGTGTGATCACAGGTCCCCAACTTTTGCCATATGAAGCCACAAAATACAACAAAACAATTTAACACATTGGCAAAATACAGCATTAAGACATAGAATGTTAAAATCATGGTGGATTAGGCGGTAAAAATATGTTTTCAAAATGTATTTACTTTCTTTACCTATTTAAGGATTCACTTTTATGATTGGTTAATTTAAGAACCACGTATTAAAACAACCAGTGCGCGATGAAACACAGCAGTACTATTATTGCAACACAATTAAAGTGATGGGAAAGCAGAAAAGAAAAACGTATTTTTGCAAAACACAGTTTATTTTTATTTGCCTTTGTGAATATCAAACATAGTCAGGTCTCTAAAAATGATTCAAATAAAACATGTAAAGGGTCACAACAGAGTAGATATATGCAAACAGATAACAAATAAATTGCTTTATTTTTTGAAGGGTTTCCTGCAATGCCGTCTGCTTTGACTGATCGTCTGCCCGGCAAAGGCAAGACGCTTGCTAGGAGCTGCCTCTCAGGCCGAAGGTATGCAACCCCCTCTGAGATAACTAGGAATGTGGTAGGCAGGGGTGAAATGTGACAGGAGGGCTGCAGGTAACACTGAGAGGAACAGGGGGGGGTCTGCGGAAGCTACAGCACTGGACGGACGGAGGGACGCACAGACGAAAGGAAAAGAAAAAAGACACCAAGTCGGGGAGAAGAGAGCATCGGTGAGAGACTGAAAGAGGACAGAAAGTTTGGGAAACAAAGAAACGCCCACGTGCATATTTCCGCACAAATGCACGCTCACGCTCACACACACACACACACACACACACACCCCATTGGCTCTCTGCAGGGGCCGAGTGGCTCAGCTGTTCCCGGCACACCTGGAGTCCTCGGTGGACAACTATTCAGCTAACAACTTCACCCGCCTCCGACATCCTCCGCGCCGAGCTCCCACAACACATAAATAACCTGGATGTAACAAAATCTTAAAAGCTGACAGACTTAACATGGCTGCCGTCTGTGGAGGCCAAACTGGTGTTTGTCTACAGCTGTGGTGTGAGGCGGTGACACGCCCAGGACAAACATACCGCTCAGTTTTTAGCAGTTCTCCCTATTAATAGGAGTATAGCGCCAGTAATAACCGCGCCTAGTAAGTTGAAGGAAATTATAGTGGCTGCCCCAGTAACGGAGAGGTCTGCGGTGTTATGAATAACCTGTCAGGGTTATTCTGGGGTAGCAGACGGGCCGAGTTAAACTCTGGATACACACATACACACACACACACACAGGACTCTTGTCTGGTGAGTGAAAATAACCCCAGTGTTTACAAGAAAGGATCAAGGTCTATTCTTTTTAGCCTGCTTTTCACTTTAGCCGATAGCAGGTCCAACAATGTAGGACAGACTAAAATCAACACATTATCTATGTACTTAAATATGTATTGTCTTATATTTTTTTCATGTTTTGTTGCTTTAGATGACCCTGGACACTTTTTAAATAAATCGTTAGTAAAATTCACAACAAATACACCGGTTGAATTATTAGCTTCATGACGAAGATAAGCAGGTTTAAGAGGAGTGTTTGAAGCTACTGATTTAATAATTGAATATTCACCTCGTGTAAACATACCAAATGTTTTGGGCATTTTTTGACAGGGTTTATTATGATACGAACATAAACCATTTGGGGACTTTTGCCCTGCATCTGAGCAACCCGGCTGAGTGGCGCACACACGCACAAGCCGGCCTAAACAATAACGTCCCTAAAAAGTGCTTCTTTCCACAGCTGCCAAATTACATTGATGTCTCCCAGATTTTTAAAACGTTCAAAGAGCAACTTATTTTCATATTCAATTCATGCGCATTTAAATAACATAAAATGGCATAATCATCTCAAACTAAGGCTCGTTCATTAACGAAGAAAACAAACGTAACACTTCTGTCAAACTGAAAATAAAATGTGCAATTGTTTAATGTTATGTAAAACTTAGCAACAGGTAGGAGGGTTAAAATATAGACCCTCAGATATATCTGTGATGAGTCACCAATAAACTAAAAATAGTTCAGTACAAATGTCACTTCTATTTATTTATATGTATACTTAATATGGAGTTAGAATAATACATTTATTTCATATAACCCTTGTTTAAACTTTAAGTAACAAAACAGAGAAAAAGAAACAAAATGTCCTAAAACGAGCAGCTTTGACTAAATCCTTCTCATTAAGAAGTTCATCTAACTTATTATTGTCATGAACTGTTCACGCTAAATTACACATCTTGGAAATTCAAAGCACATTTCAGTTTTAAGCACTACAAACATATTTGAATCAGTTCTTTCAGGACACTGAGATCAGACTGCACAACAGAAAGACAGAAAGACAGAAAGACTGCAAGCCTCCGAACACCAAAGTGACAAAAGTCAGAGAATGGACTCTGCTCTTCCTGAACGGGGAAAGATTCAGAAGCTTTACTGTTTCTCTGTACGTTAATGCTTCACACTGAGAGCCGACCGAACCAAAGGCTTCACCGGCCGATCCCTCATCACACACACATCCAGAGAGAGAGAGAGAGAGAGAGAGAGAGAGAGGGGAAAGAATAAGTAGAAAGAGACAGAGAGAGAGAGAGAGGAGGCTGTGTCTGACATTACAGCGCTGCTCCAAAAATAGATCCCTGCCGCCCTGGCCAACAGCTTGGTTGTCATGGCGACAGAACCACAGGCGCTATAAATAGACAATCGGCTCCAAATCTTGTGAGACTGGAGAGAGGCCAGAAAGAGGGAGAGAGGAGAGGAAAGAAAGAATGACGGGTAGGAGAGAAAAAAGGGAAAGAAAGAATGATAGAAGAGCGGGAGAGAAACAGAGCGAGCAACAACACAGGCAGAGACACACAGAGAGAGAGAGAGACACACACA